GAATAACACAGCAAGAGGACAACATTGGAAATGAGGTCACAGAAATAGTAGGGAGCATAGACCATGGCTCTGTGTGAAATTCAAAGGCATTGGAAGAATGTTTGCAGAAGAATTTAATAATCTGGTTTATATCTGTAAGGGTCATTCTGGCCATTGCATGAGGCACATACTGCAGGGCCAGGAGCAGATGCAATCATTGGCTTATATAGAAGAAGAGGTCAAGGACGACTCCTAAGCATTTGACCTCTGCCCCTGAGAAGTACTGGTACCATTCCTACATATTGGCAATACTGGAAGAGTACTTAGCTTTCTGGACAAAAGGTAGACGAATCACCAAAGGAGAGGAGAGAATGAAATATATCTTGATCATTTGAGTTTGAGGTAGTTTTTGACATCCAAATAGTGATGTAACTCTAGGAGTCACTAGAAAGCAGAGAACAACTGAAATTTCAGGTGCAGAATAGATTGCCTCAGGAGGGAGAATACACTGGAAGAGAGAGAGCTGAAGCCCCAGTCATGAACAATAACAACATTTAATGGTGGAAGAGAGGAGAATAACAATCACAGTAACAACAATAGGAGGGAAAGGAGAAAAAGCAAGGGCTGCAGCAGCATTTATCATAAGTGCTTATATATCAGGCACACAACCTGATGCTTCACAACCCTATAAGGGTCCTTCCATTACCTTTGAAATTCAATAACTTAACTAGATCTAAATTCCTGTTGTCAGCCTTGTATTCATTTTGCTCAGGCATGTGCAGATTCAAGTTGTTCTTTATACTAGCTAAAATTTTCACTATTCGTGTCTTTAGACATTTCTTTTGTTGCTATTCCATATGTGTTGACTTATTTTGCCCTCTTTCATCTCTGTCATCTACATCTATTCCTTTTTGTGAAATTATTTCTATAACTTTTTTGGGTTTTTGTCTTTCACTCTGCAATTTCCTCAAGCCTACCCTAGATAACCTCCATTTACGTTTGCTTTTATTTAAATTGTTCAAATGTGGCTTTCATCTCTGTGATTTGTTTTTGTTTTTGTTTTGGAGACAGTCTCTCTCTCATCGCCCAGACTGGAGTGAAATGGCGTGATCTCCGCTCAATACAACCTCTGCCTCCTGGGTTCAAGCGATTCGCCTGCCTCAGACTCCCGAATAGCTGGGATTACAGGCACCTGCCACCATGCCCAGCTAATTTTTTTGCTTTTAGTAAAGACAAAGTTTCTCCATGTTGGCCACGCTGGTCTCAGACTCCTGACCTCAGGTGATCCGCCTGTCTCTGCCTCCCAAAGTGCTGGGTTTACAGGCGTGAGCCACCGTGCCCCGCCTCTGTGATTTTTTTTTTCTTTTTTACCTTCCATTTCCTTCTGGAATTTTCTGTCCTTGATGCATTCTCTTCTGAACTCTCATGCCCTCTCACACTGTCATTGATATTTCCTTCCTGCATCATTGCTCTGTCTCAGCTCTCAGCAGCTTGCTCTTGTCCCTGAGCTATAAAACTGAGGCCATTCAGTGTTTAGTTTTATGGCTTCTTATAGTACCATAGTGTTTTTTTGATTTTGTTTGTTTGTTTATTTGTTTGTTTTAAGACAAAGTCTTGCTCTGTCACCCAGGCTCAAGTGCAGTGGGGCTATTGTGGCTCACTGCAACCTCAAACTCCTGGGCTCAGGCAATCCTCCCACCTCAGCCTCAGGAGTAGCTGAGACTACAGACGTGCGCCACCACACCTGGCTAATTTTTGTATTTTTTATAGAGAGAGAGTTTCACCCTGTTGCCCAGGCAGGTCTCAAACTCCTGAGCTCAAGAGATCCTCCCACCTCAGCCTCACAAAGTGCTGGGATTACATGCGTGAGCCACTGCACCCAGCCTAGTTCCATAGATTTTTAACAACATCTGTGCTTCTGTGACTCACAAACTTAAATTTCAAGCCCAGCCTTCTACCTAAAAACATATTCAGCTTTGAAACAAATTCGTTTCAAAGTGGCCCCTCAGTGTGAAGAAATTTAAAATGAAGCTCTAGGTTTTCTCTCTCAAATCTACTTTTATTCCCCATCTTCTTTCATTTTGTAAATTATACCACTCTCTACTCAATTGCTCATACCAAAAACGGCATTTATTATTGTTATCTATCCTCACATTCAATCTACCATTTGGAAGGCTCTGATTTGTCTCCTATGATCCTGAGAAAAATCACCCTGAATGTCAGCTGCTACAGATCTTAGCCACATGCTTTGCCCCTTGAAAAGACAACACTGGTTTGCTTGAGATAAATAACAAATTGCTTAGGAAACAGAAAAAAACAAACAAACAAACAAATAAATAAATTTAATCTGTGGGTAAAATGCTTTGACCCTGGGAAGATTGATAATTAAAGTTAGAAATAATGAAGTAAATTAAATCCATGATAGTAATACTTTTGCATTAAATTAGGCAATACTCTTTGTACATTTCTACTTTAGATATTTGGAATGTTTAAAAGAATTTGGCACATTTGAGTTGTGACTACAATTTAAATGTCTGATTACTCATTTACACTTGTGATTTTAAATTGAAAAGTATAAAAATATCTTATCACATATTTAAGATACGTTGTACTTTAAGATACATGCACCATATGACATTTTAGTCAATGACAGATTACATATACAATGGTGGTTCCATAAGATCACAATAGCATATTTTCATTATACCTTTTCTATGTTTAGAGATGTTTAGATACACAAATACTATTTGTTAGAATTGCCTGTAATATTCAATACAGTAATATGCTAGACAATTTTGTAGCCTAGGAGCAACAGGCTATACCATATAGCCCGGGTGTGTAGTAGGCTATACCATCTAGGTTTGCATAAGTACACTCTATCATGTTCACACAATAATGCAATTGCCTAACAATGCATTTCTCAGAACATATCTTTGTAGTTAAGTGAGCCATGACTGTATCTACAAGTCTCCATTGTTAGAGTTGTAATAAAGAACATCTTAAGTACTTTGTAAATGTTTGTTATTCATATAATTGAAATACTTAAAGGAAATAAGTGTCTTAAATGCATAAATATTATTTAAAATATTAAAGCCCCTTAAAGTGATTATTTCAATTTATCAGATTTTTAAATTAAAAATGATGTTTTAATAAAAGAAATGAGAATTTTCAATCCTACTAATTGAAGGGGGGGCACAAATCCCCTGTCAAGTAGCACTGATGAGTGCCTTCCACAAAGTAATATTTCAACAAATATTTATTGAATGAAAAATTGAGCCAAAATCTATTTTAAAGAAATTTATCATCCACTGGTGGTCTAGGCACACCTTATGACAATTTATTTAATGAAGATAGAAACAAAGTTTTGGGCAATTAAGTATCAAGGATCAGATGTGTTTTATTAACCTTAACAGGAATCACATACATTCTTAATTACTTCCTTATATTGCTAGAGCCAAAGCATCAACTGGTCCCTTCCCACCTCTGCCTCTGTTTTCTGAACTTCCCCCTTCTCAGAAGGCAAAAGGATACAAGTTTTATACCAGTGGGGTGGTGCTTACTCTGAGAAAGCTGCTCAATCATCTAGACACCTCAATCCATGGACCAACACTGAGATTTCCTTTCTGTAACTGCATCATACAGAGAATCCGTTTCACAGGTGGCCTACATATTAAATTCCAGACTCCAGAAACCTTTCGTAAAAGGCCCATTTCTACTTTAGCAGCCAATTAGGATTACCATATTGTTGATCTGATCAAGTGCCAGAGAAATTCAACTTTTAAACTTAGCGAAATTTCAGCCTAGACCATGCTACCACTGTTCAGAAAAATCTTGCAGAAACAACCTTTGACTTGTCTCCAGTCCGGTTTAAGAATAAACATGGCTGTGCTGGGTGCAGTGGCTCATGCCTGTAATCCCAGCATTTTTGGGAGGCCAAGGCAAGTGGATCACCTGAGATCAGGGGTTCGAGACCAGCCTGACCAACATGGAGAAACCCTGTCTCCACTAAAAATACAAAATTAGCCAGGCATGGTGGTGCATGCCTGTAATCCCAGCTACTCAGGAGGCTGAGGAAGGAAAATCGCTTGAATCCAGGAGGCAGAGGGTGTGGTGAGCTGAGATCACACCATTGCACTGCAGTCTGGGCCACAAGAGCGAAAGTCCATCTCAAAAAAAAAATAATAAATAAATAAATAAATAGAAAATACAAATAAAAAATGTAAATATGGCTGTTTCTAAAATTGCAGACCTAAAGCTGAAATGCTGTGCAGTCAGATGCTCATCTTGTGCCATTTTATAGGAATCTCCCCAGAGCTCAACCATTGGATCCGAGTCTTTAGTACCAATTTTATACATTGGAAATGTTTGTAGGGTAAAAATACCCAAATCTTTTCCAAGCCAGACCTGACTCTCTTCCTTCAGTAGTCTGTGTTTCTATGTGTAAACTTTGTAGATGCATCTGTTTTGAGTTACATAAATACACTAAAAAAGTATTTTATAGCAGGAAAATTTATGCATTCCATATTCTCACAGCTTTAAAATGGCCAAATTTATTCTCTTGAATAAATGCTCTGGGGATAAAATCAAAAGAACAACTCCAAAGCAATATTTTGAGAGTTTTTGCCAGCATCAGAGAAGAAGGTACATAAAAATAGACACACATATATAACACATATATTCATATCCTGCTATTCATGATGATATAAGGAAGACACTACAGATAATTCCAAATGATTTGATGATTCGAACAATTTCTTTATTTTCAACCTTAAATATATTCCTATGCTAATATTTAGGTTTGAATATAGGTGCGTTCAATATTTTTATATTCAACTCAAAGAAAATAAGAGAGATGTGAGGATACCAGTTAGTACCATACAGAACGAAAGGATTTTATGCAGCATTTTTATGACTACTGAAAGGTTCTCACCATCAAGATGGCATAAACATTGAGATTGCCACCTACCACAGTTGCTGGCAGGCAAAGAGAGATGGATCTGTGTGCAAGCGCTCTCCCTTACCTCCTTCCATAGGAAAATGTGAGTCTGGAATGGAACCCCACCATTCATACTCATTCGTCCCAGCCTCTCTAGACAGCTGTAACAGAAAGAATTCCAATCAAGACCAGGAACAGGAAGGTGGTGGATACTCCTGGAAGGAATAGCAGAAATGGCTGAACAAGTCCTTGCTGTACAGCTACTATGTGCTTCAGGGCCCAGAAATCCCTGACAATTTTCCATCCCAAACTCATAATCTCAGTAATTAACTAGTTTCCACTCCTGTTTCACAGCTCTTGGTGCTCTCTACTAGGTCCAGCCACTTGACAATATATATTCTTACTTGGAGCATTGAGTCAACTATGTGACTCCTTTCTCTGACTCTGTGGATATGCCCCACCCAGCATCGGTTGACATTACCGTGGGAAAGTCAACTAGAGAAGTTGAAAAGCTCTTCAATTTCCTAATTTTGTCTTTTTCCAGGGTAATCTAACTCAAGCTTATAATTAACTTCCTTAGAGCTATTAGGGTTTAGCATCTTTAGTTTTTAAAGAATCCTGAAAAGGGAAGTAGTTTCAAAGATTTTGTCTGCATAACATGTAAACATAAAGTCGTGAAATGTGAATGAAGGGAAAAAATACAGCTATGCAACATTAATAGAGACATATGTTATCAAGCACCCAGGCACAGAAGGCAAGGGCAATCAATTTAAAAGCAAGGTTTGTTAGGAGTTGACCACACCGTAGATACTCTCTTTGAGAATAATCAAGAGGGTGTTCTATAGATGGTTCCTGTGTACTTTCCGAATTATAAGTGTGGAATCTTCACATCAACAGCTCCCTTCATGCTGCCTCCTCTCCTAGTAAGATTTTTCAGGTTCTGGGTTTTCAGCCCCCTCTACATATCCCATGTTTCACTAATCCTTCACTAATTTCTTTCTGAAATGCATACTTACTTTTTGTGCTGGCTACTTATGAAAAACTCACTTTTCTTTTTACTTTTCTTCCCATTTCCCGTTAGTGAACCAAATATCAATCCAATCATGGGTGATAAATGTAGATAAGAGATGGCACTCTATCAAGAAAAGAAAACCCATAATTTTGATATAAAATTAGAAACAATGAAAAATCAGCACTCTCAAAATATAAATTCCTTTAACAGTTCCAGAAGTTCCTTAACAAATTTCAACAAAGCTTTGCATTTGTCACTATTTTTAAAATTTTTTCTCAAGAATCTATATTTAGTAATAAAAATAAATTAAATTTTAATATTACTTTCAATGTATTTAATTCCTGGTGTGGCAATTATATTTTCTGTATGATCTTTTATTGCATATGTGTAATTTTTCAATCATATTATAAATGAAATAGGTTTTTGAATGCTGATCTGGCCAAGCAATAATTGTTTATGTTATAAAAAAGAATATTATGATAACTAATATTTTTAAAACTTACAAACACAATCTATATTAAATTGAGATGTGCCTGAATACATATTTGCAAAACATATAGCCATCTATATGTCTATGTTTCTCAACATAATGCATGTTTGGTAAGTTTTCCCTTTTATTATATCAGTTGTCAAATCAACAAAATATGCTGTGAATTCTGCAATCATCTTCATTCAGAAAGTCAAGTTGAAAGCATGGACATGGTACAATCAATCTAACATATATGTTTTCTCTTTCTTGCATACACAGAGACTGACTAGGATGCAAAGCAGCTAACTGCCGTGATTTCAGTACCTGAAAAGAAATCACTGGAAGCTACATTCACAGAAAAGCATTTTTTTTTTTTCATTTGCCTGGGTTTAAAAACTTTTCACAGCACCCTCTGATAAAATGCAATTTGACCTGCAGATTCTGAACATATTTTTATGCACATACAAATTAGTTTCAGAGATATATAATTGCAGAAATTATATACTCCAGAAGATTAGCCAATAATTTTTTATTGGCTGAGCAGAACTTGCTCCTCCAAATCTCTGGGGATTAAATGTCCACATATAGTGCCATGGTAATTGACTCCTGCTTGCTCAGTATAAAGGTTTCACAAAGTTTAGGAACAGTGTAGGGCGGACATGATTTTCTTTAATTTTTAAACACCTGCAGAATATGGTTTTCATGGCTTCCCAGTCAAAACTTTGAGATAAACCATGTAGTTGTACATTTGATCAATTTTTTTATGCTCTTATAGCTAATTGATTGTTCTCAAATGATCAGTATCCCAGTGATTTTAGCCTTACTTAATCTTGGTTCTGCGAAGAAGAATTTAGGTTTAATTTTCAGAAAAATAATTCAAAAATTATCTTCACCAACTATGAATTTCTCAATTTTCTCATCTAACTTTGAATTTATTCTGTGGAAGGTCATTTTATTTTTAAAAAATTCCCTGCATCTTCAAAATAAAGTATTTTTTTACCCAATACTTTAAATGATTCATTACCTCAACAAATATTATACCTATTCTTTGCCAGATATCTAATCTAGATAAATGAATTAACTGGTTGCTGAGTCATCTGATTTAATAACATTAGAAACATTTTTTCACTCAGTTAATATTTACTAAATTCATCCTACATTCTATGTACTACGTCAGTAATGAATTCACAAAGAAACAATTTGAAAATCCTGCCCTTAAAGAAAAGGCTTCACCCTACAACTGCAGGACAATGTTTTCAAGTGCATATGAAATATTTACCAAAAATGACAATAAGCAGGGACATAATAATCAATTCTCCACAAATTTCAAAGAATTAAAAATGCACAGTATATTCTCACAGCCACATTAGAATGAAATTAGAAAACAATAATCTTTAAAAATCTATAAAATCTCCAAATGTTAAAATAAAAAGTATTCTTTTTAATAGTCAGAAAAATATTACAGTGGAAATTACAAAATATCTTAAACAAAATGAAGATAAAAATGCAACATAGTGGGCTGTAAATAAAGTCACACTAAGAAAGAAGTGCTAAGCCTTAACTATATATTTTTTTAAAAAAAAGAAGAAAAGATCAGTGATCTATGTACCCTTCTAAAGTTTTCTAAAATGCAAAGTCATTCAAAGAAATTAGTTCAAAGAAAATAATCAAAATAAAAAATGAACGGGGCGCAGTGGCTCACGCCTGTAATCCCAGCATTTTGGGAGGCCAAGACAGGCAGATCACTTGAGGTCAGGTTCGAGACCAGCCTGGATAGCATGGTGAAACCCCGTCTCTACTAAATATACAAAAAAATCAGCTGGGCATGGTGGTGCATGCCTGTAGTCCCAGCTATTCAGGAGGCTGAGGCAGGAGAATCACTTGAACCCAGGAAGCAGAGGTTGCAGTGAGCCGAGATCACACCATTGCACTCCAGCCTGGGTAACAGAGTAAGACTCTGTCTCAAAAACAAAACAAAACAAAACAAAAACTGAATTAATTAATGCAACACAAATATATAATAGAGAATATCAATAAATTCAAATATTGGTTGTCGGAAAACATTAATAAAATTAATAAGACTTTGGCAAACATTGATGAATATTAAAGCCAGAAATTATCAATTCCAAGAATTTAAAAAATCATTACGAACCCTACAGGCATTTATTAGATTATAGGAGGTTATTATAAACAACTTTATGCCAGTGAATTTTAAAATAGAGATGAAATGGATACATTTCCAGAAAAACAAAATCTATACCGAATTGACAACAGAAAAATACTGAAAATTTGCCTGGTCCTCTACCTGTTAAAGAAAGTAAATCTATATTTCAGACTTTCCCACAAAATAAATTCCAGGCAGGACTGATTCTGGCCTCGTATCCAGAATACATATATAAACTCTATAAATCATTTTTTAATACAGAAAAATTTATGGAAAGAGGAACAAGGGACTCAAACAGAAACTTCACAAAAGAGGACATTCAAACTGTCAACAAACATATGAAAACGTGGTCAATTTCATTACTTATCAAAGGAATGTCAATTAAAATCTTAAAGAGATAACCATAAGTACATTTGAGAATGGCTATAATTAAATATACTGTTAGGAAGGATATACATAATATTGTCTACATTGCCTAATATTAGCAAGGATATAGAATAACTTAAATACTTATATATTTATAGTGGGAATATTAAATGGGTGTAATTTTGGAAAATAGCTTGGCAGTGATTACTAAATCTAAAATATGCATATCCTATAGCCCAGCAATTCCTTTTATATCATAAGAGACCCCTGGGCCTTTTAACTCTGATGTGTGAAGAGAGTACACAATCAACCTATCTAGCTCTCCTGGAGGTTTCTCTTTTCATGCTACTCCAAGATTCTCTCCCATTTTCTTGGTCTCAATTTCTCAGAGAAATTAAGACAAATGAAGTCTTCATATTCACAGCACTATTCATAATGGCCCTAAGCTGGAAATAACTGAGAAGTTTATCAATAGTAAAATGGATAAATAAATTACAGTACACTCAAACATCAAATATTGTACAGCAATGAAAATGAATACCATTTCACTATATGCAGCAACGTGGATGGTCTTACAAATATGGAAGGAAAGAATCCAGGCACAAACAATGTACTATTAAAATTATCAAAATTTAAAAGCAGCCAAAACTATCCCGAGGTGCTAGAAGTCAAGAGAAAGATTATCTTTGAGGAGGGAGTTAGTGACTGGCAGAGGGCTTCAGGAAGTCTTCTGAGGTTCTGAAAATGCTGTATTTCTTTATCTGGGTGGTGCATACAGATTTCTTCATTTGGGGGCAATTAACCAAACAGTGTATTTTGTGCAGATTCACTGATTAAGTTTTTTACTGGCCAAAGGAAACTCACTGTTGTGAAAAATATTCAGCGTAACATTTCCCACTGTTCTATGGTTTCATACTCCACTTGATTTTCCTTTTAGATTTTCTAAGCCAATCTACCTCTTGATATGCATGATAAAGAGTTAAAATTTGGATAACAAAATATTCACTGGTTCCAGACAAAGCATTAGGCAGGCTTATGAATTATTTAGTTTATAATTTCAGCTTACTTTGCCTGCACATGTGTGCCAGAAAAAAATACCCATTTAGGTCGATGCCAGTTAGATTTATTTTTTAAATTTCCACTTTAGCGTGCTGACTACTGCAGCAGGATTTGGATCAAGTTACTCGCTTTGCTAGTAGTTGGAGTGATCCTGCTGCCCAGTCCTTTAGTCTGGCTTGTGCAAAGGTTAAAAGACAGAGGAGAGTGAAGATAACTGTTAGATTTCCTGCTGCTCTGTCCCAGGGCCCTTCCATTATTTTCCCTTTTCCCAATCCTCAGAATTGCCTCTGATGACAAAGGAGGACAATATTGGATCCTCCTTGTTAAAATGGAGATTAGGAGGTTTTATATATGTCATTATTATCTAACCAAAAAAAAGGGCAGTAATATTAAGATATTAAGAAGGAACACAATTAAAACAGAGGCATTCTGGAGAGAAGCAGATACACCGTTTATTATTCCTTGGGATAGGAAATTCTTCTAGACGTATGTTTTCAAAATATATCCTTGACACTCTGAAGGCTATTCTTTTTTTATGGTTCAAATTTCCTGTAGTAGCATGAATATTTATTCTGTTTTGGTTTTTTGCCCCCAACATTACCCTAGGCAACAAAGTTACCTTAGTTCGTTTTCTGTTACCACAACAGAATACCACAAACTAGGTAATTTATTTATTTTTATGTTTATGTTTATGTTTATTTTTATTTTGAAGTGAAGTCTTGCTCTGTCGCCCAGGCTGGAGTGCAGTGGTGTCATCTCGGTTCACTGCAAGCTCCGCCTCCCGGGTACACGCCATTCTCCTGCCTCAGCTTCCTGAGTAGCTGAGACTACAGGCGCCCCACACCACGCCCAGCTAATTTTTTGTATTTTTAGTATAGACGAGATTTCACCATGTTAGCCAGGATGGTCTCAATTTCCTGACCTAGTGATCCGCCCTCCTTGGCCTCCCAAAGTGCTGGGATTACAGGCGTGAGCCACGGTGCCAGGCCCAAACTGGGTAATTTATAAAGAAAGGAATTTGCTTCTTACAGTTCTGCAGGCTGTAAGGTCAAGGGCCACATCCAGCGAGGGCCTTCTTACCCCGTCATAACATGGTGGGGAGCCTCATATAGTGAAATGGCAAGAGCGTGCCAGCTCAGGTCTCTCCTGTTTTTATAAAACCACCAGTCTTATCAAGGGGGCACCACGATGATGACCTTAACTAATCCTAATTACCTCCCAGCGGTTCCACCTGTAATCCACATATCAGTCTGGAATTGTCTAATATATGGAATTTGAGGGGCAGATTAAAACCATAACAATTAATTAGAAAAATGTTTATTGCTAAAGGAAAATTTAGAAACGACCCCTGGGCATCCTAACTCTGATGGGTGAAGAGAGCACACAGCCAGCCTATTTAGCTCTCCTGGTGGAGTTTCTCTTTTGATGCTACTCAAAGGTTCTCCCCTATTTTCTTGGTCTCAATTTATCAGAGAAACTAAGACGAAGTCTTCATTTGCTCTCTGGGGAAAACAGCATTCATGATTTTTAACGTATATTTTGTGGATTGGGTGTGGTGGCTCATGCTTGTAATCCCAGCACTGGGGAAGGCTGAGGCAGGCAGATCACTTGAGCCCAGGAATTCGAGTCCAGCCTGGGCAACATAGCAAAACCCCGTCTCTACAAAGAAAATAGAAAAATTAGCTGGATGTGGTGGCACACACCTGTAGTCCCAGGTACTCAGGAGGCTGAGGTGGGAGGATCACTTGAGCCCAGGGGGCAGAGATTGCAGTGAGTCAGGATCATGCCACTACACTCCAGCCTGGGCAACACAGCAAGACCCTGTCTCAAAAAGAAAAAAATAAAAAGTGTATTTTGTGCATTAATACACTTAGATTTTCCCTTCAAATTAAAGTCCATTAAAAAAAAAAATCTCCTAGATCTGGCAAAGGTGAATAAGGAAGCTCTGTTCTTTATCTATAGCCAATATTGACAACTCCAGAACAGATCCTGGCAGGGGTGATAAAGGTAAAGAGGAGACAATGAATTCTGGAAAACTGAACCTCCTTTCCCCTCTCTACACCTCTTCAGGATTCATTGTGCCTCTTTGAAAGCTGCTGACTGCAAGCAGGTGATGATTGGTGCGGGGTATATAAGGCAGTTCCTAACGAATCCACCACGCCAGAGGTCCAGGCTGCTTTCCTCTCTGTTGACAATCCTAAACCCCCTTTCCAAATTGTAAAATGTCATTAAAATCTGGGAACACTGAACTCCCTCTCTACAGGTCCAACTGACACCTGGGATTAAGGTCAGATATATCATGGGCTCTCTTTGTATAAAGGTAAAATGATTTTTGAAGTGAAATAATGGATTTAAGGCACTGAAGCAGAACACAGTTCCATGCAAACCCCCAGTGACATATTTACAGAACCAGGTCTGGCTGGAAACAAGGTGAAAGAAACAGTAATTCTAATTGCAGCCAGCAAAATAAAAAAGCAGATTGGATGAAAACTGGCCAAGCTCTTACCATAAAAAATACCACAGCATTGCTGCCAAAAGAGTATTGAGACAAATTGCCAGAGGTAACTGTTACATAAGCCAGAGCTCACCCTGCCAATTAGCCAGAAACCATTGCTACATCTCTTCTGGCCACAATTATTCTGATAGGTAACTTGCAGGCTGTTTAGCGGTTTAAAGGACTGCACCAGAAGAAATCAGTTTTTCTGTGGGAAAGGAGAAATACAGATCAAGGACAAGGCAGTCTGTGGGTTTAGCTCCTCGGGGAGTGGTGATTCCGCCCCACTAGTTGGTATTGAGTAAGAAAGTAAGAGGATCTCAGAGAACTCGGGCAGATGACCTTTATAAAATTACTGCAGCTTTCAGGGGAGCAAGGGTACCGAAAGCCAAGAAATGTGCCTTGGCTTGCAAATACAAAGGAAAGAAAGAAAAGCCTATCGAATTTCCTCATTTTCTTTATTAAAAGATGCTTACCACTTTGATTATCTTTGAGCTTAGCAACAGTTCCCTGAGGACTGTTCTCCACAGGCAAAAATGAAGGACAGTGCAGAGGACAATTATCCAGGTAATTCAGACAAAGCCTTTCCTTAATTTTGCAGCATGGAAAATCATGGCATGTGGATGGAGTTACCCAGGTAATAACCCGCATGCTCTTCTGCCCAATCAGGATGCAACAGTTCTGCAGCCCTGCCACCACCTGATTTCTAGCTGCCATTATTTTCTTTCTGATTCCCAGCAATAGGCTCCCTCTAAGAAGTCTCCCTTTTCCTGGTATCATCTCCCTCCCTACTCTGCTTGTGTATATACACACTCACAATGTCACATCCACAATCCATTCAACTGCCACCTATCAAAGTCCTCATTCTAATACGCAAATTTGATCTTGCGATTCACCTATACAGAATCCTTAGGGACTACTTCATTACTTTGGTATTAACTCTGAGCTGGAAACAGTAAACTCAACCTACTTTGCCTGCCTTATTTTTACTTATCCCCACAAGCTCTACATTCTGGACAAAGGATAATTTACAAGAGTGTTTTTCAACCTAAATAGCACATGCTAATGACCAAGGGAGCGTCCATTAATCCCAATGACCAAATAGACCTCCATACCAATACAATCAGAACCCTAGAGACGAAACTCAAGCATCTATATCATTTAAAATTTTCCCTATGGTTACAAGTTTGAGAACCAGTGCACTATACCACCTCTTCTGCTTTTGCACATGCTTTTTCTTAGCAAGAAATGTGCTTTTTTACACTTTTGTTAAGTTTTACAGGTAAAGTGTTTTCTTTTGCAACCTTTCAGTGACCTCCCTTCATTCTTGTGGCAACCTATGCACTCTTGAATCCTAATCCATAATTTTTCTACTTCTCTCCCTAACTAGATGAGAACATCCTTCTGGATAAAAAATTGTGTGTTATTTGTCTTTTATCCACAGTGCCTATTGAGGAAGAAGAACAGATGCACACCAATACCTATTGACTTAATTCTCTAAGCTCTTCTTCCAACTTCTTGAAGGCAAAACAGTCTTCTGTTTGCAAAAACCTCCAAGGCTTTATAACTTTAGGACATAATAAAGTAAATAGAGAAAAAAAGACAAAGACATCTGGAAGATAAGAGCATCACAACTGCTTAAGGACTTTGTAACACTTGGAGTTTTGTTACTCTCTGTGGTGGTTGTTTGCAATTGGATGAGAAACTCTTAATAGCTTCCAGGTAGAAAGGTTTAAAGAATGGAATTCTGAAGTCTTCAATCAAGAGCATGAAGGCTCATAAACAGTTTGATTTTATGACCTTTACCCAGACGGATTTTGTTTTTAAAGCATTTTGGCAAGGCATATTCCACAATATGAAGGCAGAAAGAACATTTAGATAAGTGCATGCTGGGGGCTTGGTTTCCATTAAGAGGGAATTCAGCACTCTTCCAAACAGAAAGGGATCCTGGACCCGATGCAAGAAGGACATTATGAGAAGAGATCCAGATTTAGCAATGAGGATGCAAACATGAAAGCAATTCCTTGCTGGAAAGACATTTTAAAATTCTGGAATCTGCAGGCCAGAGCCTGCCATTAGAATTGGCAAAGAAAGAAGAAAATACTGATTTTCATTTTGGCTTTTGCCACAAGTACTATTGCTTTGTGATGCTTGCCCAAAGTCTCCAAATGAGATACTTGGTGTGTTTTTCAAAGTTCCTGCATGCTGATGCTAGCATGGAAGACACAACACACTCTTTTTCCTTTCTATCCAGTGGAAACAGTTTTAGACACTAAGCTTAGGAACATATGTTGAAAATAAAGTTTATTTTCCAACATAGGTGGTGACCCGATCATTCCTGTTTAGGAAAATCACAGGGACATATGAAGACAAAGTATGAGGTACAAAAAAACAAGTAAAGAGTGGTATTTTTTTCTTTTCCTTTGTCCTTTTTGGAATTTATCTAAGAATTCTCTTGAGCAAAAATGTACACTTTTAATAACATGAGCTTTTTATGTTAAGGAGGCCCTATTTCAGGAGTAAATTTAACACGACAGAAGAACTGTCTTCTAAAAATGTCATATTTTAATGCAGGCATAGCTTTTAGTAATCTAGTAATCTCTTAGGTCTCAAGACAATTATGTAAGTAATTGAGAGATAACAGTGTGGAATGCATGTTAAACATTTTGTGTAGGATCAACATCTTGCCAAGTTTTTTTCTTGTTTCTTTTTTTTTGAGACAGGGCCTCACTCTGTTGCCCACGCTGCAATGCAGTGGTATGATCACTGCTCACTGCAGCCTCAACCTGCCTGGACTCAGGTTATCCTCCCGCCTCAGCCCCTGAGTAGCTGGGACTACAGATGCGTGCCACCATGCCCTAATTTCTGTGGGGTTTTTTTTTTTTTTGGATTGGGGTTTGGGCTTTTTTTTGTAGAAATGAGGTTTCACCATGTTGCCCAAGTTGGTCTCAAACTCCTGGGCTCAAGCCATCCTGCTACCTTGGCCTCCCAAACTGCTGGGATTGTAGGTATGAACCACTATGCTGGGCCAACCGACCAAAATTTTCATAATCAATTTAATTCCTCATCTCTACTTATCTGTTGGACACAATAACATTAAACCATATAAAACTGCCATTTCTACAGACCAAAAAAGTAATATATCAGCAATTACATTTATTCATTCTAATAAACTTTTTTCAAAGTAGAAGAGAAATTGGGTCCCAGAGATAAATGAGGCCCCTTTGAATTTCATCTTTACATTTCAACTTCCTTCTTACCGGTGTAAAAAATATATAGCTATTCCTATTTTATAGATGAGAAAACTGAAGATTACCAAAGTTAAATATATTGTCCAAGAGTATAATTGTAAGTGGCAGAGAGCTAGGACTCAAAACTGTGTTTTGACTTGAGACACCCTGGTCCTGCTTCAAACTGAGGCCATTTCCAAGGGACTAGTTATAAGGGGTACTAAAAGCATTATGGGAAATATAAGGAAACAAACTTACCAGAATTCTCAGGATGAGGGCTGCGTGTTTGTTGGGAGAAACGCTTTGATAGGCTGCATGATGTGAGGGAGGGGTGGCAGTGAAAGACAACAGCCCCCAAAAGATGCGCGTCCTCAGGTGGCAGCACTCAGTTACTCATGCAGTATCACAGTACAAAAACAAGACGTGCTTGCCACCCCTGCTGTGGCTCACACGGTGTGAAGTCAATGTGGTGTCAGAGGGTGATTGTCCTCCATTCTCACACTTCCACAAGTTTCCCCAAATGGATCCCTCAATTCCATGACTCACCAAAGGCTTTTGAATCAGTATTAAATCCCTGGGTGTGACAAATGGGCTTGTCAAGCTCTTGCCCAGTGTGGATGCACTCCACTCTTTTGTGCTCTTTTTATACTGCAAACTCTCCAAGTAGTTGAGCCAGCCAAACAGATAGTTTATGCAAATCCTTCAATGGAAAAAAAAAAAAAAAAAGCACATTTTGGTGATCAAATAACTGGAAGGCATATTGTCGCAAAAGATCCAAAACATTTAACCACACTTAAAGCTCTACGCCAGTCTTATTTTTCCCACCGGTCTTATAAGCCACTAGTCCCTTTTCCACTTTTGCGTCAGGGTCCTTAAGCCAACTTTCCAGCTCAGAACTCACCATTGCTTCCCAGACACAAATATGCAGCTTTTAACCTGGAAGTTGCCACACAAGAGGACACAGGCTTGCTCTCCAAACTAATCCATGCTATGGATCCACGCCTTCAGCATTCTTATCTGAATTCCCCCGCGAAACACAGCTCCTAGGGCCTAACTGGCAACACCCAGCTAAAATCTAATCCTGACACTTCCAACTCACATTTTTCCACTGTCTGGTAAGACAGCGGTCAACTCAGTAACACCTTAAGAAGATCGACCGATAATGTGTAAAATACTCTACTCAGAGGAAAAACCAATACTTATAACATGTAAACACGTATCCTGTGCCTGCTAATTGGGAAGTATCCCAGATACTGTTTGTATCTGGTAAGCCTCATTCCAGCATATCTATTTCGTTCCTACAACCACATATTAATAACATACCTACATATACCAAACCAACACCAACCAATTGGGGCAACAAACAAACCAGATGTTGCCCTGTAATAATGGTCTCTGCTTACCCTCTCGTGTATCACTACAAATATAGCCTTCCCAGTTACAGCTTCTAACACTGCGCAGCAACTCAATTACTCATGCAGCCTATGCCACAGTACAAGAAGGACGTGCTTCAGCAAAAGAAACTACAGCTCACCCCAGTGAACAGGCAACCTACAGAATGGGAGAACATTTTTGCAATCTACTCCATCTGACAAATGGCGCTAAGTATCCAGAAATTACAAGACTCAAACAAACATTTACAAGAAAGAACAACCCATCAAGAAAGACGTGAGGAAGCGATATGACAGACATTCTCAAAAGAACCACCATTTATCCAGCCAACAGACACGTCGAAAAAATGCTCGTCATCATTAGCCATTCCAGAGAAATGCACATCGAAAACCCACAATGAGATGCCATCTCACACGCAGTTCAGAATGGCCAATCATTTAAAACGTCAGGAACAACAGGTGCTGGAGAGATGCAGAGACAATAGCGAACACTTTTACACCTGGTGTGGGACTGTAAACTAGGTTTCAACCATTGGTGGATAGTACCAGTGTGGCCAATTCCTCAGAGTGATCTAGACTAGAAATAGCCATTTGACCCAGGCCATTCCCATACTAGCTTACACTCAAAGGAACTTATAAATGCATGCTTGCTATAAAGACACATGCACACATATGTTTACTGCGGCACTATTCACAATAGCAAAGACTTGGAACCAACCCAAATGTCCAACAATGATAGACTGGATTAAGAAAATGTGGTACATATACACCATGCAATACTATGCAACTATAAAAAAAAGATGAGTTCATGTCCCTTGTAGGGACATGGATGAAGCTGGAAACCATCATTCTCAGCAAACTATCACAATGACGAAAACCAAACACCGCATGTTCTCACTCATAGGTGGGAATTGAACAATGAGAACCCTTGGATATAGGAAGGGGAACATCACACACCGGGGCCTGTTATAGGGTGAGGGTAGTGGGAAGGGATATCATTAGGAGATACACCTAATGTAAATGATGAGTTAATGGGTACAGCACACAACATGGCACATGTCTACATGTGTAACAAACCTGCATGTCGTGCACATGTACCCTAGAACTTACAGTATTAAAAAAAAAAAAAAAAAAAACAACACGTGCTTCTTGCCACCTGTGCCTGTGGCTCACATGGTATGAAGTCAGTGTGGTGTCACAGGGTGATTGTCTTCCATTCTCACAACATTCCACATTGACAATGCTGAGTCAGAAAAGTATAAACACTGTAAACAAGAAAAGTTTAGGATTTTCTTCTACTATTAACTACTGGGAATTTAACAGTTAACTTCAAAACAAAATGGGTTGAAGACCCAGACTTCTGCACACTGCTTTTTCTTTTGTTACTTTTTTCATTCAAGCTTTGGATTTGCAAATAAAACACTGTGTATGCATAGATATATGCATAGAATCATGTACACTCTATGGGTTGATTTAAGAGATTGACAATAACTTTTTCCATACTTTGTTTTCGCATTCTCCACTGATTTCAGAGATTAGTCCTTATGATTCCTCTCAAGAAATGAGCTAATGGGTCCTCAAAAGAATTAAAAAGCATTCAAATTGAACCACAACACTAAGCTGTAAGCAACTTTTCTTCATAATTAGTCTTTGTTTATAATGCAATTTTCTATCTTCATATATCCATGTGTCAGCAATTAAGACTGTATATTCCTCTCCAATACACCAAGAAAATATGCTTTTTATAGCAACTCCTTTCCACCCGCAATGTCTCCTTGTTTTGTGATAACCTTTGCAGGGTAGCAAAGAAGGCTCTGAGACTTTTCAGGCTCAAAAATCTCAGAACTTCCCTTCAGTATATTTGAAAGAGATAGAGTTTTGAGTAAGGAAGCCAGTGCGCTTCTCCTTTTATTATTTGCCTAAATGTGGATCACAGTGAGGCCAACTCATTTCTTGGGACAGGATAACACAGTGGCTGCTTCGTTTTCTTTCTTTTCCTCATTTACTTACCTGGCTCAATTCAGGGAGAATGTAAAAATGCTAATGACCAGACTGGTAGAAATGATGTCCACCAACTCCAATGGGAAGGAAGTATGGTGATGAGCAATGTTACTCCAATTTTTCCATTAAGTGCCCTCAGGCAGAGGAGAATGAACTGAAGGTTCAGGGATGTCACATGGCCCTTGGCATGCTAGGAAGTGTTTTCAGTGCCCTATAATTTGTTATTTAAAGTGCCATTGAGAGATAAGACTAGCTGGATTTCCTAGGCCGACTAAAAATCCCTGAGACTAGCTGGGAAGATGACCGCATCCACCTTTAAACATGGGGCTTGCAACTTAGCTCACACCTGACCAATCAGAGAGCTCACTAAAATGCTAATTAGGTAAAAACAGGAGGTAAAGAAATAGCCAATCATCTATTGCCTGAGAGCACAGCGGGAGGACGAGGATCAGGATATAAACCCAGGCATTCCAGCTGGCAGGGGCAACCCCCTTTGGGTCCCCTCCCTTTGTATGGGAGCTCTGTTTTCACTCTCTTAAATCTTGCAATTGCACTCTTCTGGTCCATGTTTGTTAGGGCTCCAGTTGAGCTTTTGCTCACCATCCACCACTGCTACTCGCCCCCGTTGCAGACCCGCTGCTGACTTCCATCCCTCCAGATCCGGCAGTGTGTCTGCTGTGCTCCTGATCCAGCGAGGCGCTGATTGCTACTCCCGATCGGGCTAAAGGCTGGCCATTGTTCCTGCATGGCTAAGTGCCCAGGTTTGTCCTACTCGAGCTGAACACTAGTCACTGGGTTCCACGATTCTCTTCCGTGACCCACAGCTTCTAATAGAGCTATAACACTCACCCTTGGAATCCGTGAGGCCAAGAACCCCACGTCAGAGAACATGAGACTTGCCCCATCTTGGAAGTGGCCCGCTGCCATTTTGGAAGTGGTCTGCCACCATGGGAGCTTTGGGGGCAAAGACCCCCCGGTAACACCATGTGATTATTTTTTCATTCTACTACAAAGTAGTTGCCTGTTTAAATATAGAAAATGTTTTATATTACTTCCCACAGAATCATATTGACTTACCGTAGAATCAAATTACTGACCGCGGAATTGAGAGACAGGACTACCTGGATTTCCTAGGCCAACTAAGAATCTCTAAGCCTAGCTGGGAAGGTGACCACATCCACCTTTAAACATGGAGCTTGCAACTTAGCACGCACCCAACCAATCAGAGAGCTTACTAAAATGCTAATTAGGCAAAAACAGGAGGTAAAGAAATAGCCAATCATCTATTGCCTGAGAGCAGAGCAGGAGGGACAAGGATCAGGATATAAACCCAGATATTGGAGCAGGCAATGGCAACCCCCTTTGGGTCCCCTCCCCTTATATGGGAGCTCTGTTTTCACTCTATTTCACTCTATTAAATCTTGCAACTGCACTCTTCTGGTCCATGTTTTGTTACAGCTTGAGCTGAGCTTTTGCTCACCATCCACCACTGCTGTTGGCCACCCTTGCAGACCCGCCACTGACTTCCATCCCTCTGGATCCAGCAGGGTGTCCGCTGTGCTCCTGACCCAGCGAGGGGCCCATTGCCACTCCCGATCGGGCTAAAGGCTTGCCATTGTTCCTGCATGGTTAAGTGCCTGGGTTCATCCTAATCAAGTTGAACACTAGTCACTGGGTTCCAGTTTTCGTCCCTGACCCATGGCTTCTAATAGAGCTATAACACTCACTGCATGGCCCAAGATTCCATTCCTTGGAATCTGTGAGGCCAAGAACCCCAGGTCAGAGAACACGAGGCTTGCCACCATCTTGGAAGTGACCCACGGCCATTTTGGAAGTGACCCACCACCATCTTGGGAGCTCTGGGAGCAAGGACCCCCTGGTAACAGAATCACTTCCAAGATCTTCCTATGAAATCACATGTCCTCTGGCATACCAGATTGAACATCCAAGAGGTAGATTAAAGATTATTGCATCTAGAGAATGAGACATGGATTCTAATCCTGCCTCTATCAGTTATGTACTCTGTAATCTTGATTCATTTGTTTAATATCTATCTCCTCCTTCCCAA